GGAGGGGGGAGATAGTCTCCAACCATTTTTTATTTTTCAAATGAGCGCAGTTTTTACAGAAACATGGTCATCCCCTAGCTGTTAAGAATTGTTTTGAATGCAGTCAAGATGAGTATTACATTTCATGAAAAGTTGCTTTCCCTCTTAGAAACACAACTACTGCTATTCGCTTCTCTTCATCTCCCTTTTCCTCTCAGACATGCACCTCATCTCACTGCACACAAACATATATACTCGTGTATTTGCGTACACTCACGTATAAATACACACAATAAAGCACATATACACTTTTCACCCCCCCCCCCCCCACCCCTAAATCTCCAATACGAATACCGTGGTATTACCTTTTTAATCCTTTAAAATACTTACCAAAGGATAAAAGCAAAATTCCAATTGGTGCCAAAGTCTCAGACAAACGCATTCTGGGCATGGCGTCGTTAGAAAAAAGTCGATGTTTTACCCGGACGAAGGGCGACACAGAATTCCGTTCCGTCCAAGTTCCTACGAAAAGGAAAATACAAGAACGAAACGAGTGTCGGAAGCAGTCACAATAATTGTAGGCCTACTTATTAATAGCAATCTTGTCTTACTTTTAAACCTCGTCCTTCGGTAGTTTGATTTGTCTTTAAAGGAAATTCATCAAAGCTCTTAACAGAATAGAAACAATGACACAAAGCTACGTAAACGATGTGAAACTCAAAATAACCTTTATCTTAAATTCACCTATGGTATATTTGTTCAAGTCAGTTACTAAATCACACAGTGTAAAAATTCAATATCCTTTTGCTTTCCTGAAATTTGTTCTTAGCATGCAATTAATTGGGCTGAAATACAATGTTTGAAAGATGTCTGAAAAAAAATAACATCGATTTCTTAGACATTCAAGCACCCTCCTTGTTTTCTTGATGTTGTTGGTGCCTTTGATGTCTCCCAATAGAATAGGAACTCATTCAATGTTCTTTAACTTGAGCAACGTCGAGCAGAATTGCCAAGATGAAATTAATTTAATTTATTCTGTATTGGTCGTAGCTTCTGAAATATCAACACGAAAGATTGCTCCTGTCGTTGGACTCCGCCACCGCCGTAGATTCTAAAATTGTTTATTGTCCACGGACGACTTGTATCTGACACTCCGTCTTATTTCCCCGAAGCTCCTTCAAGAACGTTAACTTTTCGACGTGCACTTCTGTTTATCAACCAAAACAACTCTTCTGCCCTTTAACCTGTTTCACAGACTCAAAGATGTACCACGTTTAACACTCAGTTTTGATCTGGCCCTATTTCCCTTTATCCGTTTGGTTTATATTTGCGTCATTCCTGGGTAAAAAATTAAAAAACCCACTCTGATAGACTGGTGTGCGATATCCTTCCCTTTGAAAACTTTCCACTTACAGGCGTATATTTCCAAGCGTCGTGTTTAGACTGACCAATGAGCGGAACCAACTGTCAAATCCCACACCCGGAAGTCTGCAGCGAACTTCGGTTCCTTTTGCACTTCGCAGTCGTAATCTCTGAACTCTTGCCAAGAACTTCCCCACATTTTGTATTGTTCTGTCTAACACGAAACATGCCCACAAGTTATATCGATTTCTTCAAAGCTTTTGGTCAGATACAGCGTTCCCTGTTTTTTTCATGAATGGCGCACGTCAAATAAAGCAAGATTTTCTCTCTGCTGTATTTCACCTTTCTTTAGTTTTAGTAAAAGTTTTACGGCACTTGCAACACAATGAGGTTATAATAATATAAGTGCCGAAGAATAGATACGTCACAAAAAAAGAAGGAGAGATAAGGACGATAGACGTTTGATAAGAAAGAAGGAGCGAACCACCCCAGAGCACCCGCCAACCACTCACATTTCATCCTTCAGAGCCTCACAATCATATTACACGTGTTCTAAACATTCTAGACGCAGTTTCTGCTTTGTGAGTATAAAATCTAAACAAGTTTTCAAAGGGGTGTTTTCTGTATACAGCGCTTGTATGAGTTTCATCTTCTAGCAGACACAAACTGGTGAGTCGTAATGGCGACACATTCCCTCTATTGCTTTAAGAAATAACGAAGGACAAAAATACATAAGGTGTTATAATAGTGAACTATGTTATAGCACACAATGTATGAGCTTAGATAACAGAGTTTATATTGTAAGAGTATTTTATGCTTTCGCTTTTTATTAGATTTTAAATTATTCAATAAACTGGGTGATCACAGAGAGTCAGAATTAGATTTCAAGAAAAAGATATGAGATTGTCAATTTCTGTTGACAATTGGGATTGGCCAGGGGCGAAGGCTGACTTGTTTGACAGGGTAATCAAAGTGAAACGGGACCAGATATGGCCTGGAGATATTATTATCCCACAAGAATCTTACTCGAGGCGGCGACTCTGAGTTGTGAATTGTGAATGAAAACAAATCCGGAATTCATATTGTATGTTCAACCGCCAAAATGATCGGGAAAGTATCTTATTAAATATTAATTCCAATTAAAATTAAATTT